TTTCCAAGTGAAAACCAAATGCACATATTTTCCCACAAATTGGAATGGTCCAAAAATATTTTTAAAAAAGTTTAAGCAAGAGCCTAATACAGTGTCCCTTTTCTCTCAGAAAATACACGCTCAAGCAGATTAAATTTCTTACAATAGCTGTACTAATAAGCTAAACCATTAAAATTTAAAAAAACTTCAGTTTGTTTTTTCTTTATTATACTTTCTTTTGTTTTTTTTTAATGAGCCATGACATGACCATTTTGTTCAATTGATATAATTAAACATGCATTTTAATGAGAAATAAATGATTTAATGATTCAATGAAACTAAGCCTTTTTATATAAAACCAAATGATAAAATTAAATCTGATTTTAGCAAGAGTACATAAGAAAACTCAATAATTCTTCTTTGCACAGCTATGACTTTATTTACCAGCAAATGGCTTCATAACAAAGAACAAGTTGGTTTACACATAAATCAATACAAAAAAAAATCTGAATCTATGCATTGTAGCAAAACTTTTACTAAAGATGAATCTATTGAAGATCTTAATCTTTGCACAGTTAACTACAAATGGGGCATTCCATGTCAACTGAACCAATTTTGGAAAAGTGTCACATTCAACTATCTTAGATTTCACTCTAATTTTGTTCACAAATTCTTTTGGATCTGAATTGAAGTTCTCTAAAATTTTAGCTGCATACAAATGGAGCCAAGAACAAAGATTATTTTGTTTGGGGCAATGATGGCTAAATTATTTTCTCCATTTTCATTTGATAGCAGGAACCTGATGAGCTGAAAATTTGTTCTAATGCAGATTTTAAAAACATTATTAGTCTAGCTATAGAAAACATCATTTTTGTAAGTTAAAAAAAATGTCATGGTAAAATTTCATTGGTATTTCCAGGAAACTAAGTTATCTTAACTTACCTCATGAGTTCTCTCTTGTAAGGAAGAAAGTATGACAATGCACTATAAAATGCCAAAAGCTGAATCTTAAGTTCTCCAAAATGGCCCAAAAAAAAAAAAAAAAAAACACAATGTAAAAATGAACACCTAAACTGTACTAGTGGCAAGTTAAAAGATGTCCTTGTTCTTGGATTTATGTCAACTGAATAAGTAAAGATATTTAGCTAAATTTTTTTTTTTTTGCTTTTTTTAAAATTGATCCACAATATGGAATTATCCTAAACAATTTTGGAGATATACATTTTATGTAGTTGTTTAATGTTGAACACAAAAATGCTTTTTCATTAATAAAAATCTTCAAAATTAATTCATTTTTATAAAACATTGCCTAATCAAAATTTCAGAATATATCTTATTGATACACTCTAACCTAAAATCTTTAATCATTTTCCTTTATTTCTTACTATCTTAAAAGCTGCCCTATTAGACAGCATTTAAGCTAGCTCCTGTGAAGGGTTCTTGATTGGGTCTTGATCACAATAGGAAGGAAGGAGTAGATGCGATAGGCAACAATAAACTACAGAAGAACTCAAAATTGATCACTGTATTAATATTTAAGCTTACCTTTTCAAAGTTCAATGATAATTCTTCTTCTACCACTTTATTTAAATTTGATGTATGTAGGTCCTTACTTTCCATACAAACAATTATTTTTATTTTATGGATGATTTTTGCTGGATATTGCAATTAATTTTGATTATTCCCAAATTTATTTCCAAGTTATAAAAATTGTTATCACAAAAAAATTTATCACAAAACATCATGTAAAAAAATCACTGAAAACCATCACAGTAATGAAAACTTGGGAATCCAAAATTTCAGGGTTGCTGGTCTGGATCCAGCCTATAATGTTTTTAATTTGCTCATGGAGTCAGCCTGATTCTGAAATGGTATGATATATTGAGGAGTAAAGTTGAAAACATGGACAATTTTATTTTGAAACATTGTAATTTGAAAACAGTAATTTTTTTTCATTTGAACATGAGATATTGAAAATTAGAGATTTGTGTCCTTTTAATTCTTTTTATGAGTAGAAGCCAAGATGGCAGAATCTAAAAGTTGCAGTAATGTAAACTTGGGAATCCAAAATTTCAAGATTGCAGGTCCCGATCCAACCTGGAATGTTTTTATTTTGCTTATAGAGTTGGCCTGATTCCCCAATGGTATATGTTGGGCTATGGCCTCTAGAGGTAAAGTAGAAAAAGTGTAACACAGTGACATTGACATTCATTATATAGAAGAAGATGAGCTATTAATGAGTTGTGTCCCTTTAATTTAAAAAGTGACACACTGACATTGGCATTATACAGAAGAAACAGATGGTGATGAGCATTTGGACAAATATTCTGTTTTATGAATCAATTGCAAAATTTTATCTGAAATTTCAAACTCAAACGAACATCACTCCTCCCTGTATGAACCTGGTACCTTATTTGCTACCCTCCCCCTTACCGGAGTATGTGCTCATTTGCTTAGAGGATTGTCTCAAGTGTACTAGTTGCATGATTCATTGTCATAACACAGACATGTTGGACATGAATAAAAACCAATTAAAATACAGGTTTTATTTCACTAAAATAATCCCAAAATGTTTAATGCAGATGTACAAAAAATACCAAATTTCTAGACTGGGTATTGATATCATGAAATTCCTTTTGAAAGTATTATGGTATTGACAATGTGTTAGATTTTGGTACTGCCCATCCCCCTGGTGTTTTTGTCACTTTCAGTTTTTATTTATTGAAGACACATGTTAAGCATCCATGATAAAAGGTTAGAATTATTAATCTCTTATACAATTTATTATTTTCATAACTGAAGAGTCATGTATCTCACACTTTCTGCTGCTTCAGTGCATAGAAGTGGGATAATGGCTAATAAGCTAATCTGGGTGACATTATTACTGTATAGTGAGCTTGATTCTTACTAGGTGCCTCATTTATGACCTTGTGCTAAAACTAAGCTTAGTAAATAATGCTAACACTTTTTGCTGCTTGTAAAATATTTAAAACATTTGAAGAGCAAAATAGCACATGAGGTATAAGCATTTATTCATGCTCTAGTAAACGTTTTTCACATCAGTTTCTGTCTTGGCAGGCGAGGAAGGGGGCCCACCCACAACCACAATGCTATCAATTAATTTTCATAATGAATAAATAAAATTAAAAAGAAAAATACATATGGAAAAAAAAGAGTATAATTAAAATTTTTGTGGCAAGAATGTGTATTTCTTAGTAATTACAATGTACATTAAGTACCTCCAAAAATTTGCTAAAAAAGAGCATACCATGATGAAAAAGGACAAAACTTGATAAAAACGTGTTTTATTGTCAAAATGTCAAAGAGGAAAGACCATAAATATTTTATTAAATTTTTTAATCTTTTCTAGCACATCAACAGATGGGCCAAAGATTAATATGAGATATTTAGCATCTTTTTTGCAGTAAAAACAAATTGATTTGGAAATTCTTGCAAAAATCAAAGAATTGTCAGATTTTAATTAAGTTTTCAGGACTTATTCACAAATGAATGAAATTATTTTTTTTTTTTTTTTTTTTTTTTTTTATTTTTGTAAAATAAAAAATGCAATAAAACTATTATTATTAGAAGAGCTTTTAATTGCTTTTATAAATAGGATATACTAAGGACACTATTATCTTAAGGAAAATATTTTTTTCAATTAATAACAAATTTTTACAAGGCAAGAATTGTTTTTTTTTTTTTTTTTTAATTTTAATTAGATTGATTTATTAAGTTTTAAATCTTTTAAAATTCTATATTTCACCTTTTTAGATCATATTATTATTAAGTAAAAACTATATTTAGTAATTATAAATGGAAAAGCTTAACACAAATCATCAAATACCAATATTTTTAAAAGAATTTTTTTTTGTAAATATATGGATATCCATACATGATGTTATCAGAAAATAAGAGTGATAACTATAATAAATTTACAGCCAGAAAGTATTTAAAATTCAATAAAACATTAGATTATGGAGAATATTTTCTTAAATTTTTAATATTACTGAGTACTTAAAAATTATAATATAAAAGGTGCTTATGTTATTTTCAATTATTTTTTTACTGCTAAGGTCATCATAGAGCAGCATTAGATAGACATCACTGTGTCATCAAGCTGTCAAACACATCAACAGCTAAAATAAACTGCCACTGCTGTGCTAAAAAATCCATTTCTGTGATATTTTAAACTTAATGTAAATAATGTTTCAAATCATTAATTATACTTTACATCAGGTAAATAAAGTTTCAGAAAAGTATTTTATTTTTGGAAGATTTTTTAATAAAAAGAATTACATTGCAAAAGGGCACTAATCAGCTATTTTAGACAAAAAAAACTCCTTCCAATCAATTTAAATTGGAAATATTAAATTTAATCTTTTAGCTTGGAACTAAAACTAAGATAAAAGCTTCCAGAAAGATTTTTCATTTTTTAAAAAATTCATTTTAAACCTTGGATATGTTTTCTGTGGAGGTACTGAGTGTATATGTACTGTACATATTACTGGCAATAGATATCAAATATAAATACGGAATGTTATAATTGAATTTTTAATTTTTAAAAAAAAAAAATTTTAATTTTGTATTTGGATGAAACTTTTAATTTACTGCACATTAACAGATAGTTAAAAAGCACAATAGAGCATCACATGCAGTTCACTATATTAAGAGCAATTGTTTGTGTTCACTAGATGATTGTGCAAATCTGCCAATAATTGCCTCTTTATCAAATTCATCTAACAATTCCTTTTCATTAGATAGCAACATGTATGATTCCAAATTCTCCTCAGACAGCAAATTTCTTAATCTTTATGATCTTTAGCTTTGAAAATGTCCTCTCACATTGAACTTGAGTAACTCATAGTGTGCAGATGACTTGATAATGTTCTTATTCCTTTTTATTACTAAAACAGTTGTCTGTGCTTGTTTCTCAACTAATATATCTTGCCTTTTTTACAGTCCTTTTCCTTTTGTAGTTGGAAAATTATTTACATCCACTTTTAATTTCTTTGTTTCAGTGATGTAGACCAGCAGCTTCTCCAGAACTGCATGTATACAAACAAATCTCCTAATCCCGATTTGCTCATTCGGACATCTGGAGAAGTGAGATTGAGTGGCTTTCTTGCTTGGCAGGTCAGTGGATCTGATTTAAAGAAAAAGATTATCTTTTTTCTACAAAAGGAATACCAAGGTTATCTGGTCTAATACAAAGCAACTTTTAATCTCAGAGCCCAACCTGATTTATCCCATTTATTTTTTCAACTTGTTGTAAGAAAAAAAGCAAATTAAAAGAAAGATGTACATTGCATAAGTGGAAGTCATATTGAAAGTTTTGAGTTATCCATCTTTGATATGGCATATTTTAAATATCATTTAATAAAAAAATTTATGCTAATGTTATATATTTTGAAATATATATTTTTTAAAAATTGACATGGGCAACATCTGTGAAAAATACAAGGATATAAATGTTGGTCCAACACAGAGGAAGGTAACAATGTTAAAACCATGACAGGCAAAACCACCAAAAACAAATATTTGATTGTGAAATCTCTACTCCAGAGAAGACAGCACCTTGGAGATAAATGCCAGGAATGCCTGTCTGAAGAACTGAGAAGGTTTCAGGATTGATTGTCATTTCATTAGAGGCCATCAAATATGCTAATAACTGTCCTGCTAAATCACCTGCACAACTAATATGTGCTAGTGTTGGAAAGAGGCATCATGACTGCAACATTGTCACCCTATATAAGTACAAAGGAGAGATAAGCATGTGTAACAACTTCAGCTAAGTCTGTTCATTGAACATGTTTGGGAATGACTTCACCTGCATGATTCTGAACAGATTGAAAAAAATCAGCAATATGATATGTCAGTGCAGTTCAGAACACTACAATCAGCATGATCTTTGATAGCTACAGGATAAATGCATAGAGCAAACATAACCACTCTATATTGCTATCATTAATCTCCCAAAAAGCCTTTAACCTGTGAGCAGAGATGACCTGTTAAAAATCCTTCCTAGAATTGCTTGTTCCTCAAGGTTTCCCAGGAAAGTTGTCATTCTATATGAAGGGTGTTGTTTAGTTTGATGATACTTCTTTGGAGACCTTTAATATCTGCAACAGTGTAAAGTAAGTCTCTATACTTTCCTCCATTCTGCTGAGCATCTTCATCACTGAAATATGTCTTTAGAGCATCAACGGATAGTGTTAAACTCCATATCAGATCAAATAGGAGGCTACTCAGTCTGTCCCAGATGAGGTTGAAAAGTTTGTAAGGTAACCAGGAGGGGTATGTTTACAGATAATATAGTACTAGAGGCACACTCAGAAGAGCAATGACAACACATCATGGACAGGCCATCAGCATGTGTTAAGCCAGAGAGTTAAGTGCTCCTCTCTGTTCAACCATTAGAGTTTCTCCTTATACTTTTAGACCAATAGATGTTTCAGATAAGCTAGCTCAGCATTTGCCAGACTACCAAAGAGAATCTTGCAGAACAGGAAGCTGATGATATACACCAAGATTGCAGTCTACAAGGCTTGCATTATCAACACACTACTTTACAACAACATGACACGATCCTCTACTCTGGACAAGAGAGGCATATTCCATCTTCAAAACATCTGAAATGTATCCTGGAAATCAAATGGATTGATAGTCACAAACAACAAAGTTGTATTCCATGCCCAGATGTCCAGTCTTTTCACTCTACTCTGACAACATTCTCTGTTAGCTGGGCTACATGCACCGTGTTAGTCAGAAGGACCCTGAAGGGCCTGTTGTACAGGGAACTGCCCTCTGGTAAAAAAATAAATGGTGGCTTCATCTTTATTTCAATAATGTCACCAAAGAGACATGAGCTCACTGAACATGAATATTGAAAGGTGGTAGGATATTGCAAGTTACCACCCATGCTGGGGTTTTGAAGTGCACAGAGGTCTAAAGATTCAAAGAGGCTTATGCATGCTGCTTAAGAAATATACATTTGCTGAAAAAATACATTGCTAAAATAACACCAGAGGACACTGTCTTTGAGTGTAGTCACTGCAACCAGAACATTTTTGTGTGGACCTCCACAGCTACATTAGTCACTTCTATACCATCCTAAACTGAAACAAGATTTTCCAGGTGTATATCTAGGATCTTGTGAGAACTAATAGATGCCACTAACTACTGATATACAATTTATATTATCTAGGTATCTGTAATTTAGTTTCATGAATAATGGCATGTGTGTCTGTTCTTCATCAGATGCTATTTAGGTGTGACCTTCAACTAAATTTTTCAAACTCCTACAAATATAAGTCTTGTCATGAATTAAAAAATGTCACAACAGAGCTGATCATAAGAATTTTGTTCATTACATATCTGTAGCCATAATTCCTACACCAGCAATCATACAAATCTTCTGCAGATTTGATATGCTGCCCATTGAGCTTCTTACACATCCCAAGGATTCTCAGTAGAAATTCAAGATAAAGGAAAGATTATTCTGCAAAGATATGACAAATAGCATAAAATGAATACCATTGAAATAGTAATCATTGATCTCTAGTTATTTTTTTTTAATTGACTCATAGCACTTCTGCTGCAATATGTACTATAATGTCAGCAAATATTACTGATTATTTTATTTAAAAATGTATTATATAGTCAAAAACTGTTTTTCTTATTTCCAGAGTACTTTTTCCTGTTTATCATTCCTGAAAGTTTTATGGCCTGAGTTTAGTGTGTGGCACTTGTATTTGGCAGTCCTCAATTACCAACAGAATCATAATTCTATTCAAGTAAGTACATGTCATCCTTTGTTTGGATTGATTGTTCAGTCTCTAAGTGAAAACTTGCATGAAAACAAAAAATAACTATCATATTTTACTATGCTTCTTTAACAGCATCCTTATCATTCCTGGTAAAGAGGATTATATATTTTATTCTTGATATAAAATGTCTTATTCCCTGTCTAAATGCATGTTAGTCTTTCTTTCTTTTTTTATCAATAAAAATGTGTGCTAAAAGCAAATAGCAATAATTGGTGTTACTAGTTGTATTATTATTAATTTTACCAAAGAGAGTAATTTCTTTCTCTTCCCTTAATCTTTAATTTTACAGACACCACATTCAGATATTACAAAGAAGAAAATTAGTCATCTTGTTCTGGCTGCTTAGGCAACTTAATTTATATTCAGTTTCAATATCACTTTGATAGTAACCAAACGAAAATGACCAATTGTAGAAGTTAATGATGACATTATGTGTGCTTACTGACAAGGCCAGCTCAAGGTACTAGTAACTCAGGCATTTGCCCAGGGCACCATCAAAGCCAAGGGTGCCGTCATGCCACTATGTCATATTTTGAAATCTTCCAAAACAAAAGCTTATAAAAACATACTTGTGGTCATCCATGACTTAAGACAGATTAAATTCTTTGACTATTTTGTCAATAGAAAATGATCTTGTAAAGAAGGTAGTTAGCTAGTAAGTGCTATGAAAAGATTTGAAGATCTAAAGGCTAGAAAAATGTTTTAGGTAGGATAATGAATGTTTTCTTTAGCTTGTATAAAGTTATATATTGTAATAAACTTGTTATTCTATATTTTCATTGTTTCTACTTGTGAAAATTTAAAAAAATTATACTTGTAAAGGCACCAAAGTTCAGCTTGCCTGGGGGTATAAGCAACCTTAGGGCTGTCACTGCTTATTGATATATGCATTTAATGTGATTAATGTATAGAATGGGGAGAAGAGTTGATGCCTGGTGTTTAAAGATTCTTCAATTGCAATGTTGTTGGTGTTTCATAAACACCAACAGTAAATAAAATGCATGATATTTTCTTTAGTCTGTTTAAACCACATTTTAATAAATTATTTACATAAACATAAATGTAAAAAAAAGAACATTTGAACATAATTTTTTCTCATCTTGTCTTTCACTTGTAGGTGGCTGTAAACTACAATAATAAAGAATGTGAACATCTTCAGATGACTTCTGATTACGAGAATGCTATAATGGAAAGAAATGCAGAACACAATTGTCTTGAAGAGGAATTGAGTTCCCTTTCTGCTTCCAAGAACTATGTCTATGCTTTGCAAAGAAAACAGCGTGTTGATGCTTTCCTTAGTTACTTATACAACAAAAGAGAAGCTTATATACAGAATATCTGTACTAAAATTCTGTGATCTGAATATAATGAATGAAAGAGAAATAATTGTATTTTTTAAAACGAGGAAATGTTCAGATTTAGGAAAGGTTTAAATTTAAAACCCCTCATGTTTATGAAAATGTGTGCTATTTCTTAGCAATTCAAATCAAGACATTGAAATCCATAAATGCTACAAAGACATTTGGATGACTCTAGATAATTTTTTTTGATCTTGAAAAATGTCACTTTATTTTCCTCAGGGTTGCCAATTATACTGTCAAGTTCCATTTTGGTTCTATTTTCATAAATTTCCTTTTTCAGAATAAAATTCACCAAAACTGATGCAATAGACTATGAAAATAATTTTTCTTTCATAATTATTCTGTGTGTGTGTGTGTGTGTACATGAGTAAAGTTGGACAAGATTCTGATGGAATGGGAAATATATAAGACAATGTAGAGAAATTTGTGCTGTTGATCCTGTGTCATTATGCCACTTCCTTGGTGAAATATGTCATGTGAAATTTTCCAAATTTCCCTTATATATTTTCCATTGTGTGTGTATATTCAGTGAAAATAGTGATATTGTTGATAACATTCATTATTCTGAATTTTAAGCTTATTGATAGCAGTAAATAAAAATTTTATAATTTTGTATGTAATGTACATGTATTTATATGTTGTTAGACATATAAGTATAAAAATAGTACTACCCTTTCAATTAGGTGTGAGACATGAATTAGAAAATTAAAAAAAAAACTGAAATCTGTAACATAGGATCTAATACTTGTCAATTATGCCAGAAGAAGAAACTAACTATGGCTACATTAAAGAACAAGACAATTTATTAAATAAAAAAAAGTGAAATAATGTTGGAGTGCAGACATTCATTTGTCATACTCCAAATCTAGCTGAAAGAAAAATATTTAAGTAAATGATTAAAATAAAACCAAAATGCAAATTTTTTGGCATCTCACAATATAAATGTTATATTTGGAAAATGTAATGCTATCTAACCATGAATAGATGAAACTTTAGTCACTGGTCTGTGAGTTTAAATTACTTTTAATTCTTTATGTTTTATTTAATAAGTAATTGAGAGTAAATTATAATATAAAATCAATGATATTCAACAGAAAAAAATTAAATTTTTCCAAAAAAATTGTAAACATGTTCAACTTAATGAAACAGAAAAAGGTTATTTAATAAAAATGGCTTCAGCTTTGATGATGGTTTTGATATGATCTCTCATGCAATTGTATGCTTAGATAAGGTGGTTCATATTCATTTTGGCTATCATATCAACAATGGGGGTCTTCAAAAAGTCAGTATTGTGGAATGCTGGCTGATGTCTCTGTTGACAATGTCCTAGTCATTGTATTCTCAGAGAATCAAATCCGGAGAGCAAGGCCGCCACATATTCTTGGTGACATGATCAGGAAAGTTCTCTGCCAGTTCCTCCTGAGCAATGTGGGTGGATGCAGAGTCTGGCTGGAACACATATGATCACCCTCTTGGTCCTGGATTGACCACCTTTCCCACCAGTAATTGGTAGTATTAATGCCGAGGCCCTACACGTAGAAGTAAGTTGGCAGAACATGATCCTCATTACTCATGACTATGACAATGTGAATTTGGTATTGATTAAAATGTGTATATCTATGCAGTTCTCTTTCTCTCTCTCTCTCACACACACATACATACCTGTCATTCCTGACCATTTATTTTCTCTGAGATGCAGTTGATTGTTAGTGCCAAAAATATGGCTTGCTTTTTCCTCTGTCAGATTGGTAGCTGCCCTGTTAATACTCTCAATATGTTTAAGGTAAATGAGAATGTTATAATTTGGTTCATTCTGTATTAATATTATATTAAGTGTTTTCAAATATGGGTCCTCCTAATGATGTCTTCTCAAATGCCTGGTGCACCTTATATCTATCTATATTATATGCACACATACACGGGGTACATAGGGTGTTTCAGGCCAAATTTATGTCTTTAGAAAAGCAGGCATATGTCTACAAAACAGCTATAGTGTCATTAAAATTTTTATATATCAAATTGAGTAGTTTTATAACAGGTGTATTCAATATATCCACTTTTAGGAGCAGAAACATTGGCATATCCAAATCAAATAGTCTTTGTTCATTTCAGGCATTATATTGATGTTGGTAGCCTTCAAAGTATACTTTATATTATGGAGATAATGATTATCCTCTCTCTCAACAATGCTCCACACGTAATAGTTCAGAGGATTATGTTCTGGCAAGTTTGGGACCAAATGTTATACATTACAGGATCCTTTTAAAAATCGTCAGCCATCTATTCTTGTGTTACATAAGCTTTAGGAAGAGTCTTGCTGAAACAGGTACACTCTTCCATTGTGTGCATTGCATCTATACAAGGCTTAACAACTTTCAAGCACCTCAATGTAAGCCAGCAGCATAACCTTGAAGGCCTTGTGAAAAAAAGTGAGAAGATATTAGATGTCTCTCAGTACTCACAAGCCCAAACATCACCACAGCTGCTGGAAACCTGGTGTAGAGATAACTGTTGGGACATTGGAAGAGTTTATGCATTTCTGCTGTTTACCTATTAGTCTCTGGTCAAAGTTCTTTCCATCTGAGAAAATTAACAATATTCTCTGTTCTTTTAACCTTTATCACTCTTGTAGAGGATCGAATGGCCTCAATTCAGTTTGTACTATTTTTATTTTCAACAAATGTACCAAGAAACAATAAACAACAAAGAGAAATAATACAAAAAATAGTTTTTGTATAACAAACAATATTTTCATTTATATAGCATAAAAGATACAAAGCATTATGCTAAAATGAGTAAAGATTTATGAGTGAAATCTTGATGTTTGTTATTTTAATTATATGTGTAAACTCTTATTTTGATGTTTGGCGTTAAGGTGTATGAGTTTACTTGAAGAAATATTTGTTGTAATTGTGGTGATGTAAGTTTCACAGAGTTAGTGAATGAATAATTCTGTTTAGTTTATGAGTTAATTAAACAGTGTTTGTGAAATATAAATTTCCAGTGTAAATTGAGGAAAAAACTTAGTTCTTCTAGAGTTGTCTTTCTTTGACGGTAATATTGTCAAGAAGTAAATAAATTCTGGATGAAACAATGTACTGTAATTGAGAACTTTGCTGTGTAATAATAATGTTCTGTGATTTATGTTAATGGGTAACTTTTAGCCTCAGAATGTGTGACATAGTTTTTAGTAGACGATTACTTTGCTGTCACGATGTTCACTGGTGAGATTAGCTGGTGTACCATATTAATTTATTTGTTGATCAAGTGATAGGCACGATAACACGTTTTCTTAATTTTGGCAGTTCTCTAGTTTGAACACTTGTGTGTATGCATAAATATGACATTGGTATTTATTAACTGATCAGAAAACGTCTATTGTACTTTTAGCTTGGAGCCTAAAAGTGTTTAGCTTGCACAAGATTTAGAACTTGCATGTGAAAAATAGATAAGATATTATTTTAATATTTGTTGTCCAATCAGGACATTATTAAATAGCATCCTTATGGAAATTAGGTGTGATCCATGAAATTTAAAAGTTAGATTCTACTCTCTGTATGTAACTTTATTTGCTGTGCAAAATATTTATCCTGCCACTGAAGGTGACTCTGATCCATGAATTTGAATTTGTTTGAATTTCATATTTGTGTTGTCATATCCAGCTGTAGCAACACAAAACAAGTTTGAGTTAAATTAACAATAAGGTTACTGCAATTGAGAGGCCTTGAAAAAGGATGCTGTGGAAAGAGAAGTAATATTAATAATGCAGAGTGCTAAATGTTAAGTCAACAATTTTACAGTCTTTCATTTTCTGTGTCAATTTATTATTTCATTATTTAACTGAAGAAAAAAAAAGGGATTAAAATTAGTTTGAAAGTAACAAATCATAAATGGTATATCCTGAAATACTCAGAAATGGTATATCCTCTAATACCCTACGTACCCCTCTTTATATAAAAGATGGCAATCAATGTACAACAAATTGATTTAAGATATATATTTTGTCAAAAGTGATTGTAAGAGTAAGCTGAATTGGGAAGGTTGAGTCTGAAAGGTAAAATCCTTGAACAGTTAACAAAATTTCTTATCAATAAATACTCCTTTATTTAACTCACTTGAACTAATATTCTTTTTTTAACCTGCTATCATCTCACATTCTAATAAATTGACTTTTACTATTTATTCAGTTATATGTAAAATAAAATAAACTTTAATTTAAAAATATACTACATAATTACTTGCAGTAATTTACTTAAATAAATCTGATTATCTTTTCAATGTTCTAAGTCAGGAACATGTTTTCTGTTTTAATCATTAAGTTTAAAGCAACTGAATTCATGAATAAGCCATTTGATTGATTTGTTATTATTATTATTATTTTTAAAGACTAAAAATTGTGGAAAACTAGCTTATCCCTTCCATAATCAAAATGAGTGAAATATTTTGGATGATCAGATATCATGTTTAATCAATTTATTGATATTCATTGAGAGCATAATTGTTTCCCAATCACATTTCAATTAAGAGAAAATACTTTCAGTTTTATTTTTGAAAAAATAAATTATAAATTTAATCAGTGTCAATTTTTAAATGAAAAGAATTGCTTATTTGTTTATTCTAGATATATTAAAGCCATAAAAAAATGGTGTATTAATCATTTTTTTCTTCAGTTGTCAATATATGATCATGCTGCATGTAAAATAAAACCATTCATAAATTATGGATAATGAACCAAAGTTATCTCCACTTGGCAGTAGATTTTCTTTTTAAACTTTGGCAACCAACTATGTAAAGATTGTGATATACTTTAATAAAAGGCAAACAACTTTGTCAACCACTTTTATGTAACCATTGTTTACCATTGTGAAAACCTTGAATAAACAAAGTTAATCTTTGTTTGATGTATAAATTTTCTATTAATTTTAATCTGCTAATTACTGTTAAATAAAAAATACAATTGAGATAAATCAGGTTATATGTTTACAATTCTTTTTAA